CCGAGAAATTGAATGAAATTTGGGGACAAACCTGCAGTCCTGCTCTCTGAGAGCGCGAAATCGCTTTGGTCTTGGTCTTTCCAGAGTCTTTACCAGCTTTACCACCAGCCTGTAAAACACCAGTACTGTTAGTGTGCCTCCGCCGAAACGCGCCTTATTGTAGCCCAACATTAACTTAAGGTCCGCTTAATATTCGCTAGCCATGCTAGCGTTTCCCCAGTGAAGCCAGTGGGTATTTAGCATGCTAATCCACTACACCAGCCAATGCTAGCGGCCAACTGTTAACTAATAAAGAAAACGCAACGCTACCAAATAAAGATGTATTTCAAATAAACTACCTAAACAGAGTGTGTCGTTATAATATTTTGTTAATACGACATATAATACGTACCATATTTAAAAACTTACAAAGAAACTCTGACTCGGCAGCCAAAATAATATCCTCCGTCTACACTGAATATCGACTGTTGTTTGAACTAGACCCCCTCCCCCCCACCGCGGGTCGTTATATAGAGCCATGGCTACCCGGATGACGGCAGTCACGTGATTACCGCTGAATCTTTTCAGCCAATAAATGAGCTCTCTGTGCGGTTCCGTTCTAAGAGCTTATGGGTAATGTAGTTTATGTGGCGTATCTCTTTCCCATTTTATATCGAAATGAGCTGGCATTAGTTTTTCTTTCACATGGCATTAACTTTTAATTTAGTATAGATAGAAGTCCCCGCATACATTCATCTTCTTATCTGCTTATCCAGTTTAGGGTTTAGCAGGCAGAAAGCTATCAAAGTTGATGGTAAAATTAAATAGCCCCATTTGGTCAAGCCTCGCCTCAGTGCGCCCCAGGGCAGCCGTGGCTACAATGTAGCTTGCCATCACCTGTGTGTGTGAATGTGTGGATGACTGAATGTAGTGTAAAGCTCTTTGGGGTCCATGGGGACTAAGTAAAGCGCTATACAAATACAGGCCATTTACCATTTAGTTTAGTATATGAAGCACAGCAGAGTGCTCACCCCGCCTCCCCCACGTACCAATTATCAGGGTCTTGCACGTTACCTCTTTTCTAAAAACACATATGTACTCGAGCAGAGGTCAGTGCAATAGCCTGGAAATCTAATTGCTCTGAATATCATTTAACTCTAAGGTTGGGAAATTGCTGCTATTCTTGTATAACTGGAAGAACTTTGCTGTAGCAGCATGATCAAATGTTTAAAATAATGGGATTCCCTGTGCTGACTGGGACAACTGGCCACACCATCAACAGGATAAAGCAACCAGCCACAAGCAGACAAAGAAGGCAAACTGAAGAAAAAGTTGGTGCTCTGTGTTTGAAGTAATTTAATTACAGCCTGCATCAATCCATCCATCCTAAATGAATGTTGAATGAATCTCTGTGTGTTACATAGATGTCACAAGCTACCTGTAAAAATTCCCAGGCAGAAAGAGAGAGAGACAGAGCAACGGCCACTCATAAAGATCAGCCAGAAATCTATCACTTCCTACAGCTGTGGCTCAGATATGCAAGATTTTAGCCAAAGACTGGGTGTAGACTCTGTTCCACTCAGCCTTGATAAGGAAATGGCTCGAGCATCATAATGATCTTTTACACCACTTGTTCCAACCACCCCAGATGATACAGGAAGAGGTGAAAAGTC